GGAGTTACCTACTAAGTCCACTGATGAATTGTAGTTTTTTTTTTTTAAATTTAATAATTGTTATTAGAAAGACGCTTGTGTTCATCTCCTGTTTCAGTTTTCCTCTGTCTAGTGGGTATTCTTACCCCGGCACTACAGGATGCAGCGCGAAGCTTATACCTGCGTGTCGTCGGGCGGCTGCTGCTGCTGCTGCTGCTGCACGGCGGGCTGGGGGGGCGCGCGCTTGCGGCGCTCGAGGGCGGCGCGCCCGCGCTCCAGCGACCCGCTCTCCGACGCGGACGCTGTCAGCGATCCCGACGATGGGTTCCTGCACCATCATCTTCATCACATACACGCTACAAACGACTCGACAGCTATCACTACTAAACATGTCAACATTAAGTAGCTAACATCCGCATCAAATATTACTCTGATTTCCGCAAAATTATGCCTGATTCTATTTATTACTACACTATATATAATTCTATCCACGAACGCGCGCCCCACTCCACCTAATGACAAAATACTCAAACGCTACTCCGTTTTAAAATGTCATTCAGTTTCGAGGTGTCACAGTCACTTCGAGTGATAGAGACAGCACGAGACTTAACGGTGAGATGCCGTTAAGTCTCGTGCTGTCTCTATCACTCGAAAATTAACACTTTCACTGTCCGGTTTTCAGACACAATAGTAAGACAATAGCAATGACCTATATATAGTGCACGGGACAGCGAAAGGGTTAAGTAGCGTTTGGATATTTTGAACATAAGCCACTTTATTGCAAGTGTGCATTATAAGCATTCTGTTATTTCTATCCACAGTAATTATTAAGGACCGTGTTTATATTATATAAATAAAGTGAGAAATTCTCTTGAATATTTTCATAATCCAACAAACTAGTGGTGCGCCGTCTCATAGATTTCAAACTATCCAGAACAACATTTACATGCAAATCTGCTTGCTACCTGAATGCTACGTTTCAATACAGGTATTTACTTGGGCTTGAACCAAATTTCATCAAAAATCTACTAGATTTAATGAATAACTGTATGTTCATCGCTTCTTTTCTCTTTTCATATATACTAACTATCACTAAATACTATCAGTTATAAGAGCCATTAATGCTTAACAACTTATTTATTAACTATTTTCAGTCGTAAAAGCATAAATAACTTTCAATAAGTATCAATCAATAGTAAATAAAAATTATTCTATTCTAATAACTATCCAAATGTACAATTAGTAGATTTAACATACTACTAAAATTATAATAACCTTGCACAAGGTATGGCCGCATTAAAAAAAATATAATAATTTTTTTATTATCTCTAACAACAAAAGCTTTAATTTACCAAACATACAACATCTAACAACATAACTCCAAATACGGATATTTGTACATAAATCATATTTCATATTTGTACATAAATCCAACAAGTAAATATAATACTTTAATCCATGCAGACAATATTCAAAGCCAAGCAAAGAAACATATCTTCATGCATTAGTACATGAATACTACACAATGTGTTAAGAAAATAATTAATAAAATGCCTTCTTTATAAATAATCGTTTCCTTGAATAAATAAGAAAGTGTAACATTTTATTACATATTTATAATCATAATCTTTTAGAAATACTAAACACATTGTGATGTGTTGGGACCAAATGATTAACAGGTCATTATTCATAATAACCAATATTAGTGGGCAATATGATAAAAACTATGGAAATAAATTAATCGGGTTTTATGAATATAGTCCGTTGCTTATTGGGTAGAATAATAAAAAGATAAGTTAGGTTAGGTTATGACCAAAGTGCTAAAAATGAAGTTTTAATCAGTATTATTTACGTAGCCCGATTTGACTTGTCATTATTTTATGAATTTTGGTCCGAAATAAAGATTATTATTATTATGTGGTATCTATATAGTTTTCTCATCTGATTGGGAAATATAAATATATAATTGTAAATAATCATGGTAAACGTACATAAATATCAATAAAATAAAATAAATACATAAAAAATACATAAATATATAAAAATCCAACCAGATGGAAGCCCTCGGCAGGGGAGACCAAACGGCCGAGGGTTAGGGGGAAAGGGAAAGAAACCGGCGGACGATGCGGGCGGTATCGAGGAGCACCGCCTTCTGCATTTGAGCTTGGAGTGGTCCGTCACGGAGTCCCAGTCGCCTCAGATGACCCGAGAGGCTGATTGGAATTAACCCATTCGCAGAGACGACTACAGGTATAATTTCGGCCGGCAGTCCACCCCACATGTCGGTCACCTCGTGAGCCAGGTCCAGATATTTTGTCAGCTTATCTGTTTCGGCTTTCACGAGGTTCTCGTCATAAGGAATGGTAATGTCGACCAAAAAGATCCTTGACTGTGCCCGGTCCATCAGCACAATATCAGGCTTATTCGCAAGAATAGTCCTGTCTGTGATGATGGCCCGGTCCCAGTAGAGCCTGGCGCGGTCATTTTCGAGTACGGCTTCCGGCAAGTACTTATAATATGGCAGTTTCCGATCCACGAGACCGTATTTCAGAGCGAGCTCCTAGTGTAGAATCCTGGCTACTAAGTTGTGTCTGTGCAAATACTCAGAGTTAGAAAGCGCCGAAGAACCGGATATGACATGCCTAAGTGACTCACCGGGATGGCGACAAGCTCGACAGACGTCGACGGTGCCATCCTTTAGGATGTATCTCCGATAATTGCTGGTCTTAATAACCTGGTCCTGTATCGCACAGACAAAACCCTCGGTTTCCCCAAAGAGGTCACCGAAACGTAGCCAGTGGAGGGAGGCGACTGTGTCTACGAAAGGCTCAAGTAGAATCTTGTAGAACCTCCCGTGGAGCTCATTCTCCTTCCATACGGTCACCCGGTCGGAGATGCTCTGTACTGCCGGGTCCCGCCATTACTCGTTGGCTAAAGATAGAGGGGTAAGTCCTTTATCACAAGAAATAACGTCCCTATAGTATGGATCATCCGCTCTCGTCAGAAAGTAATTACGGAGGCTGCACACTTCGCGATTATGCATGGTAAGCGCGCTTAAAAAGCCGCGCCCACCATGCTTCCGCGGCAAGTACAGCCTCATTACTGACGATCTTGGATGATGCATCCTGTGGGACGTTATTATAGTGCGGACTTTTCTGTCCAGAGCGTTTAGTTCGGTCTGAGTCCACCTAAGTATGCCAAAGGTATACATGAGAACAGGCATGACCCAACCGTTATATGCGTGCGTCTTATTCACACCGGACAAAAGGCTGTTAAGCACTTTGGTCAAGCGTGCATAAAACACATCGCAAACTGACTGTTTCATACCCGCCTCATCTACACCGATGTTCTGTGACATACCCAGGTATCGGTATGTTTCAGCCTCGGAAAGGGTCCTTATGTTGATGGGCATAGATAAATCTATGCCCTCAGAGTTAGCAACCCTTCCCCTTTCAACATGGAGGACCGCACACTTATCCGTCCCCAGCTCCATTCTAATAGAATTCTTAAAATCACAAGTGATGTTTAGCAATTCCATAAGATGTGAGCGACTGGAGGCGAATAACTTGAGATCATCCATATAGAAAAGGTGGGTCACTTTTGTACCTCCCTTCCGAAGCTGAAATCCTCTCCCGGAGCCCTCCAGTAAGGTACTGAGAGGGTTCAGAGAGAGGCAGAACCAGATTGGACTCAAACAATCGCCCTGGAAGATACCCCTTCTTATCTTTATGTGGTTCTCCTCAGCCGTCATCCGCTCGCCTAGATGACAAAGGATCGTACTCCACTGCCCCATACACTGCCCGAGGAAGTTTCTAACTGTACAGTCAATCTTGTACAGCTCGAGGACCCTCTTAAGCCATGCATGAGGCACCGAGTCGAATGCCTTTTTGTAGTCTATTCAGGTGGCGGAGAGGTTCCGACGGTTGCGTTTAACCACCTTGCCAATGACCGCGTCAATGAGGAGTGGTTCCTTGGTTCCACGACCACCGCCCTTACATCCATTCTGAGCGCGCGACATCACCTGATTTGAGTTCAGGTGACGACTGATTCTCGCGCTCAAAATGGATGTTAGTGTCTTGTATATCGTGGGTAGACACGTGATGGGGCGGTATTTGCTCGGGTCTGTGGTATCCTGATCTTTAGGCACCAAATGAGTGATCCCAGTAGTGAAGAGGCTCGGGAGCGACTTCTGGTTGAGAGCCTCTTGAAACTGTCGGGCGAGCACAGCGTGACACACCACGAACCCCTTCAGCCAGTAGTGATGCCGCCCGTCGAGCCCCGGACATTTTCAGTTCGGGGCCCTACGGACCGCCTCAACTACGTCATCCGGCGTTATGATAACGGGGTCCATGGGCGTAATATTCGCACACTGACTCGCCACAACTTCCGTCCAAGGGCCCTCGCTGTGGTTTACGGGCCACAGGCCGCGCCAGAATGCGATAGTGTCGGCCTGATTCGGTGCTGGGTCCATTCCACGTACCATTGGCCGCTCCAATGATTCATAGAGCCTCTTCTGATCACTCTGAAAGAGACGATTCTGGTTGAACCGTGTCGACCTCTCGGTATATCGCCGAATCCGCTTCCCCTTCTTATTATTATTATTATTATTATTATTATTCACATTTTTTTATAGGAGAGGGGGCAAACGAGCATGCGGTTCACCTGATGGTAAGTGACTACCGCCGCCCATGAACAGCTGCAACACCAGGGAGGGAATCGCAGATGCGTTGCCGGCCTTTTAAAAAGGAGTACGCTCTTGTCTTGAAGGTCCCTAAGTCGTATCGGTCCGGAAAAATCGCTGATGGTAATCGATTCCACAAGGAAGTCGTGCGAGGAAGAAAACAGAATGACATTGCCCGTGCATTATAAATAGTGCCCTGATTAATCACTTGATCCTTAACATATGCATCCAATAATGGTATCTATCCAACCAGTAATGGCATGCAAGTAATGGCATATAAGATTTATTTATATAGAAAAGATTTGTAATCCTACATTTATACAACAACAAAACCACTGAAATAAATTTTTGAATTAAATCTCCAAATTAAAAAAAATGGTGGCTACAGCAAAAGAACTTGAATAGGAGAGAACATCTAAAGCCTGACTAAGCAACGTTGACACCAACGACATCTATAACAAATGAAACGCCGGTATCGCTGCACTGCTATGTTATTTGTGACAAGTGTTCAGAAGTTTTTAAGTTTGAGGATATGTGTATCTGTCACAAGATTAGTGTGAACTGTGAACATAATTTAAGTTTTGAAGTTTGAGGATATTTGTATCTGTCACAAGATTAGTGTGAACTGTGAACATAATTTAAGTTTT